TAATTCAGATTTTTGTGTCACATCCTGGTCCTTGAGAAAGCCAGGCAGAGTAATCAAACACAGATCCACAGATTTATGTTTCACTTTGGTGAAGTTTCCCTTCTGTATGTAACACAGTTGATACAATCCACCGTAAAGGTGACAAAAACAGGCAAAGTTATTTTATTGCAGTAATTAATTTTACATTCAACTATAGTTAGAAAATGTTACATTCACATCCTGTCATGGATCAGTCAGCAGCAGCATCTGATCAATATGTGATGTAAATGTAACATTTTCTACATATAGGTAAAATTAATCACTGCAATAAAATAACTTTGTTTTTGTCACATTTACAGTGGATTGTATCAACTCTGTTACATACAGAAGGGAAACTTCACCAAAGTGAAACATAAATCTGTGGATCTGTGTTTGATTACTCTGGCTGGCTTTCTCAAATCTGAATTATGGAACTGAAAGTTAAAGTAGTCAAACTGAATTTTTAATAGACCAAAATACAGTTTCAAAGCAAATAAATTCAGATGCAAAACTTTAAATTCAGTTTCAAACCATTAAATTCAGTTTCAATTTAGTAAAATTCATTTTCGGTCAGTGTATCTTTTGATCATTGGATTTTCATTTTTGAAACGAGTATTAAAAAACAAGAAATGAGTGGATATTTGATTTTTGTTTTAAAATACTGAAATTAAAATTAAGATACAAAGGGTGTCTCATTCTTAGTGCCAAAAGGGGATAAACAAAATGTTAAAAATGATTTGAGTTTCATTTTCTGTTTCAGATAGCAAAAAAGAAAATTACTTGAAGACAGAAATGAAAAAAGGCTTGTTTGTTTGTATTCTACGACTATTTATTCCCCCACCAGAAGGGGCGCTCGCCTGACAGCTCTGCATAATGACACATTTTACACTAATTTCTGTAAAGGCTGAAACACAGAGAAGTGTCCATAAATGAGTTGTATGATGACTGTTGCTTTGTGACCAAAGGCTTTGCAGGGATAATTCATGTGGCCTTTGGCCAAATAAGTCTCTTTTACTGAATACATGTTGACTACTGCCTCCATGTTTCATCTCCATTTTTCTCATTAAAAGAAAAAAAAGATAAATTTCATTCTATTAGTGTGTTGTACAGTTGTTGTTCTGTGAGCACAAAGGGTTTTTTTCCTCCTGAGTTTTGACGAAATCTGTGCTTTTTTCTGTCAGTTTGTGTCCTCTGAGTGTTCCTTTCAGCGAGGGGTGGATGGTACTACGACTTGATATCGATCTGATTCCAAAGAAATACTTGGCAAATTTATTTATACCGAAGTCAGTATCAATGCTTTTTACTTGTAATGGGATGTTTATTGAGTAACTTTGATATTGCAGACAACCCTTCTGGTGGTGAAACAGTTTATTGTAGGGATACAGTAAGTTGGCACGACCTGTCATGGATTATGAACAAATAAGCCTTTTTTTTTCATTTCTGCCTTAAACTAATTTTCTTTTTTGTTATCTGAAACAGAAAATGAAACTCAAATCATTTAAAAAATTTCGTTCATCCCTTTTTGACACTAAGAACGAGAAACACTTTATAT